TATATATATATATATATAAAGACAAATGATAGAAGCAGGGCCCATTACAAATAAATCACATAACTTTATTGTTTGCCTTTAAATATATTTTTGACATTGATCTGTGTGTGAGAATTACCTGTGCCTTAACATTTAATCATTTAACAACCGTTTGACAAACAAACAAACAAATAAATAAACATGTATTATTAATATAATAATAATAATAATTGAGTTAGCCTATTCACACGCTGCTTAAAATGTGAGGGAAACGTGGGTTTTGAAGTTCACAGTCCAAAAAGACTTTTGATGTGATGAATAGCTATAGCTTTACCTCCGTTTGGTCCCCTGAGAGACAGCGGTGCGCTTCTGGACTGCAGGGAATGCAGCATGGAGTTCTCGAAGGGCCCCGCGGGCCACGCCGCCGGTAACTGTGATAGCTGCGGTGCAACATACGGAGAATACGGGCTTGTGTAAGATCCACTTATTTGTCGTGACAGGTATTGGTCTCGACTGTTTACATTCAGAGGATTCGTATAGCTGGTATCCCTCGATGTGCCGTTATTCATAGGCGGACTTGGGGAGTAGTGGAAACGGCTGGAGGTATGTGGGCTTCCAGTGCTGTAGGACGGGCTCTCTGGTGCGGACTGTGACCAGACCGAATGACTGCTGACAGCATGGCTCGGCTGCGATGACACGCTGGGTTGTAGGTACGACAAACTCGGTATCATCGTTCCAACGCGAGACGTCGGCACATAAACTGGAGAATTAGGGTTGGAGTGCATGTAACCGGCCGGTGGCGTGTCGTTATAACCGGCCTGACTCTGGGCCGCGGCGATGGCCAGGGTCTGATACATGTCGGTAGGGTCCACAATTAAGCCTCCCTTATGCGTCTCCCTGGTGTGCCCACCTGAGATGATGAGTTTGTTGCCCTGGTCTAAATCCGTGAAGAGTGTAACGTCGTCAGAATTGGTCAGGGCGTTGTTGGGATGGCCAAAGTGGACGTAGGAGTGTAGGGGCCTGCCCTCGGCGCGACGGGTTCCCACCGCGTCCAGGTGCGTCGGCGCCGATGATCTTAGCCGGTCCCTCCGGTCAGTGTTCAGGTAGCTCTGCTCAGCCGGAGACCCTGGGCTGCTGCTGGACACTTCGCGCTTGACCATGGACCAGCTATTATCACCCAGGTCCATCCAGGATCCCTTGTATATCTCACAGTGTGTGGAAAATACAGAGGCAGGGTGCACTGAAAAAGAGAACATAATAATTTGAGAAACGTTGGGCTATAGAGAATACTAAATTAGAAAAAAAAGAAAGAAACGAGAGAACGAAAATATTTTACTTTTAGTCAATAAATGTCAAAGAGGATCTCAAATCATTAAGCAAATAACCAACTGTTAAAGTTTCTCCGAATCCTTACTGAGTTTTAAATCATATTCAATGAAATATGTTTCACTTCAGATAGCGCGTAATGGTACAAACTTTCTCAAATCATTTATAATTGCTTTGCCATCTTGTACTGTTCTAAATTTAAAAGTTAAGCTGCATGACGCGCAATGCGCACGACTTCACTATTTCCCATAAACACATGCGCACGCACATACACACACACACACACACCCATACAGGGCTTTACACTGAAGATCTGAATCCATCCGTGTCATGAGCCCGTCCTCCCTCTTGATGTAGCCTCATCATAATTACCAAAAAGAAAAAAACACACACACAACGTAACAGATAGGAAACAAAACGTAATATGTCTTTGCAGAAAAGAGATAACCACTTGATAAGACCCACAAAAGATAAGAGAGAGAGAGAGAGGCAGGGTAAAGAAAAAAAATACCCGAAATTATTTAGGCTCTCATCAGCTGGCATCGAAAACAGCACCAAGACCAGAGGTTTGACAAAAGACATTTATAATCAAGACAAGAATATGTGGAAAGAAAAAAAAGTCACCACTGACCTATTGGTGGTTTGCCATAAGTTGGTGTTCGCAGGATCCAGCGGTTATGTGGTTGCAGGACTTGGAGAACTATT